TTCATATTGATATTGGACATTGTAAACGTTTTTATTCATGTTTGACTGTTTTTAAAACATACTGACAATCATAATAAAGGTTCATCATCTCATTGATAATATATATTGCTTGAAGCTTCCACTATTTGGAACCAATGTGCTGACTACAGTAATGTTTATAAATAATTGGCTGAGAACTGATTTTTAGGCTTTATTTACGCTGCGGAACTTAAAGTTCCTGGTGATTGTGTGGTTTTGTTGTTATTAATTTGTTTTACATTCTCATTCAACATAAATCAAAAATCAGCTAAGAATAAGTTTATATGAGTTATCACTATTTTAACATACTTCAGCATCTAACTTAAAAAAAATTGATTTTCTTCCTTATAAAATGTGCAAGATACTTTTGGTTTGTAATATAAAACTCAAAATAAAATTATAGGAGTTCAATATTATAATTAAAAAAAAGAAAATGAAGGTCTAAAAGTGTAGATGCCTCTTCTAAAACTATTTGTGAAGGAGGCTTATAAAAATATTCAAAGAGAGAAATCAAAAGCTGCATAAATTTCTCTCATAAGATTGAAAAAAGAGTTAAAAGGGTAGGATAACAACTCAGGATAATCAGCCAATTGGTTAGCTTACTCCCCTTCATAAAGGAAGAATAGATTTACTTAAGAAATTAGAGATTATCACTGCTTTATACTTAATTATGATTAAATGGGTTATTTATTACTAGATTGTGAAGAAATACTACACTGTAAAAAGAGGAATTATTAAATGGATAGACTCTCGTGGCTTATTAAGATGATTAATCTCAATTGTTCAATTTTCTGATTTTCCTTTTATAATCATAAACCATTAGAAATTGCATGTTAGATTTGCGAGGGTTGTGAGCTGAGGGTTTACTTTATTTATCTCTAGTTAAGATGCAATCTGATTTTAATTGTTAAAGCCTTTAAAACAAAATTTCTAAAAGTTATTAAAAAACAAACAATAAATAATTGATATTGTTGGAGAACCAACTTATTTTTTGTTAAATGATCTAAAGAATTACTTTTGTCTAACCTTTTGAAAATTATAATTTGTTTCTTTTGGATTGACCATCCCTTGCTTTCAACATCACAGAAAAACTCACGACTATTGAATCATTGATTGGGTTATGTTAAATATTATTCTTTTTTGTAAATTAACAGAATTAATAAAGTTAGACTTTCGTAGTACTGTTTAGATTAAAATCAATATGATGATTATAATTTGAGAAACCATGATTCTAGTAAAAATGACTTATTTGTAATAATTTTGGTTTGATGAAAATATCAATTTAGTTTTGAAAAGAAGATCAGTAATATTAAGGTTTTCGTTATTCTTATTAAATTTAACAACTGATGAAAAAGTTAAATCCAGATCTTGAAGAGAGAGTTTTCAAAAGAAATTAAAATCTGCAAATTCTATAAATTCTTAATTCCACCCTAAGAAAAATTTAAAAGAATGTAAATTAGATTTAAAAGCATGCTAAAGTAAAGTTGTATTCACAAAAATTATCTTAAATTTGACTTCAACACATTATAAATTTCCAGTTGCCAATTAAAAACGATTTATGACATATGCCCAAGAAATCAAACAAAAAGATTTATTATAAAATGTTGGGCAGATAATAATTTTAAGTAAGATATGGGGAATCAGAATTTGATTAACGATCTATGCAATGATAAATAAATGTGGAATTTACTATAGTTGAAGTAAAAAGATAGTATCTACTTGCAAAAGATCTGAAGATATTTAAATATAAAATTCAGAGATTAGTTAAAACTACTACTGGAATTTTACTTGCTGAAAGAAAGAAACTATTTTACTATGAAAATGATTTTATAATCATTATTTTAAACTTTATCACTCAATGCACCTTCCACTACGTATTTTAATATACATATTATTGAAATAATACATCGATTCAAATTATCACTATAAACACCTGAGATATTTCATATTTCAGGAATGTGGTTGAGCTTAATCATTTAAGGGTTGTAAAAATTTCAAGAAAGATTGAAGGATAAAATTAGGCTTGCACTAATTGATCAACAAAAATTGATAAGTGTAAGTAGCCTTTATTAATCCTAATTCTTAAATCACTGGCTTTTATTCTAAAATAATCATTTTGTTAAATTTTAATCTTTCCATAACTATCTCTTAAGAAATTATGAGAATAACTGGTCTTACTCAGAGGTGAAAGGCTATTGAGTTGGGCAGTTTTGGAGTTGAATAATACTTTAAATTTGGAATAGCTGATTTACAAATCAACATCCACTTAATAGGCCAACTATGAAGATTCCTTAATAACTGAATGCCTAAAAAGTATGTTTATGGAGAAGCGTAATATGGAGGACCCAATTTTAAAAAATTATTCCTCAGGGAATCTAGACCTAAGGATGGGTAAACAGAAGGGGAGCTCATGTTTAAATGAATGTTA